ACTCACTGGTGATTAAACCAGGGCCTCCAGGCCACAGGTAAACTGCCACCTTGTTTATGTTCATTTTGCCTTTTCATCACAAATGTCTCTATTGTTTTCCCCATCAGGGACAGGGGAGGACATGGTGAGAGCAGCTGCTTACTGGTTTAGGGGTTTTGGTGAAGTGGAAGCAATTTGAAAGTGTGTTACCCAGTGCCATATGTAAATCAGTGGCTCTCTGACTCTTCACCTCCCAGATCACACCTAGCAGCAGGAGTGTGTGAGGGAGGTAACTTGCTTAGGGCTAGGCAAGAAATGATGAAGGGTCTCCAGCAGGCTAGGATACAGTACCAGGGGCAAATCAGAGGTCTGGGAGGATATAGGGTGCTAGGCACCTATAAATCTCAGGAATTGTGGTTCTGCAGATAGTAGAGAGCTGTAGGTACAGGGATGTAGCACCAGCCCCCAGCTTGCATTGATCCCTGAGTGCTCAATGGTTTGCCAACACTTGTAGATGAAAATAAAAATGGCCTTTTTCTTAGTTGTTATAGCAGTTTTAAAAAAAAGCCTTTGACCACTTTGACCAGGAAAAAAAAGTTGACATGAGTGATGATATATTGCTACGTTGTTTTGCTTGCTTGTATGCATAAAACACCCAGAAACAAACACTCTCTGGGGCAGTCATTTATTCCATACTCACCTCCGCTCATACTACAGGAGTCAGGATATCCTTTTTTTTTTTAAGATGATGTTTAGACTCTTCTATCTTATCCTGTAAACCTGTGAGACTCCTTATCTCTTCGTCTTGGTCATGACTAATGCACATCCCTTGGGAGTGTTCAAGAACTTGTCTGAGATCAGAATGACATTATGGCAGGATGTTACAAGTTAGTTTGGTATTTTAATTCCATGTAAAAGTTGGAAAAAAAAAAAGAGGAAAGTTAATAGCAAGGATTCTGGGCTGTAAGGAGCCATACCCTGAGCCACCAAAATATTTAAGCACATAAGTAGTCCCACTGTAGTCGATAGAGTTGTCTGTAGATTTAGCGTATTTGCTAAGCCAGTGCACTCAGATCAAGTCTCATGTGAGCAATATTTCTCCATTCTTTGTCAATCATTAGCAGGTGTTTCACAAGCCATTTTCTGTTAAGAAGGTCCATATCCTTGTCAAAGTCACAGCCTCACTAAGTAGGAGGTTTTATTTTACTCCTGTTAATATGAGTGATGAAAGCGTAAATGGGAATGGCTGTATCAAATCAGATGGATGGTAGAAAATGCAAGGTGGGGAACAAGGGAAAGAAAGGTGTTTCATTTGAAAATTACAGGAAAGACCTCTCACATAGTGAAATGGGAAATGAGATAAGGACAAGAGTCAGCAGAAGACTGCAGTCAGGTCTGGGGCTTTCCTTCCTCTCCAGGATGTCAGTCTAACCCCTCACCTCTCACAATATCTTTGTCTCTAGAAGCTCTTGTGGAATGGAACAGTTTTCTCTAACATTTGTCTCTTTACAGCTTGTGTCGCTCTTTTCCCTGTCCAATGTTTTTCTTCTGTTGTTAAAACTTACTGTCCTTGTAGCAAGACAAAAAAGCCCAAACAACTCTGTGAAAAAATTTGTTGTGGATGTCTGTCTGGTCAGTGTAAGTGCAGACTAAATGGAATATCCTTCCTGCATTCACTTACAGTTAGTGTTTAAGGATACAAAGGGCAAGTCCACCCTATGCTTTTTAACTAGCTGCTTCAAAGATTATGGCTTATTGTATTACCAAATTATAGTTGTCAGCCTCAGACCACAGACAGATCTTCCTCAGTAATTGGCTAACAAATCCAGAACTAATTCTCAGAAGAGCCCAAGGACAACTGGAATCACTATGCCTTTACTACAGTGGAAGACAAAGCCTGTTTTTCATGTCTTCTTTCATCTTCAGAAATCACCCTTTGTAGTCTGGGAAGGCTATTAGATAATGTAGCTTATTGCATCACTTTCCTATACCCTTAAATACAGTTGTTATAATACAAGAACATGAATTTATAACAGAGTTATAAATTTGAATATAAAGAGTAATGTGTGCTGAAATGAAACATTTAAGTGAGAAAGAAGATATTATCCAGAAGTGGCACTTAAGATAAACATTGCAACCAGTGTCTGATTTTCAATGTAGTCAAACGGTTCTGTGTTTTGATAGGAGATTCTGTTCCTACAGAAATCATTATCATTCTGTCATTATGCAATGCACAGAGACTGAAACAATTTTTTATGCTTATAATGGAGAATAGAACATAAATTGTATATTTCATTTGCAAGAAAGAAATTATTCAACCATGTGTGCATAATAAGCTTTAATAGACTCAACAGTTCTGCTAATATTACTTTTGATCATTATGTTAAGCATTTGTGAACAACTACAGCTTAAATAATCAAAATTTTAAAAGGACAGGGTTAATCTTTGATAGGTTTATTTGTGTGTTTCATTTACCATGCATAACAACAACATGCTTCTGGATAGCAAATAGTTTCCAGTAGAACAATACTGCTGTGATCGCATTTCCAGCTTTTTGAGGAACCACCCAAATTTAACAGGAAAAAAAGTCCCAAACTCTAGTGCATTTTAGTTTAAAATTTTAAAACTATTTCCAGCAGGAAATATCAGGAAAATCCTGTTTTTTCTTTCAGCACAAAGCTGAGACCTGATTCTGCTACAATGACACAAAAGAGAGCTCTGCCATTGGCTTCACAATGAGCAAAGTGGGCTTTGTAATCTGAGATTTGGGACATTTTTAGAACATTCTTCTGAGATCCACCTTGATTTCTATTAAAACTAATGAAAAGACCCCTGCGGCACTTTGCAGGAATTGGATCAGGCTCTCAGTGGTACAGTCTGTTCTATATATAACTTACACACTGCTGGTGGTGTCTGTGAGAGACAGGCTCCCAGCCCGAAGGAGCTGTAAGAGGTGATGGATTTTTAGAGACATAAGGCAGGTTGAAATAATTGCCATGGCGAAAGGGAGTTGTGTGAAACAACCTGCAGCTTTGTACTGCTTTGAGAGGCCAGATTCTAATCCTGGCAGAGTGATGTAATTGTGCATCTGTAGATATTTATCTTTCTGTAACAGTTGCATGAGAAATTACATACATTAAGGTTGCATTAGGGTTCTCATTTTAAAAGTCTCCTACCACAGAAATGCTCCTTATTGCATTTCTTGATGGGACTGATGCTAGCATTTTGTGCTGCTGGGCTGTAATCCATAGATGTAGAAGAACAAGATGTGAGACAGAACTGAATTAAGCTCTCTGGGTCAAACAGTACCTAAATCTAGTTGTAGTTGAGTATATATTTAAGTTTCTCCCACCACCATTTTGTGTAGCAATCAATATTTTATTTGTATAATTTTTTTTCTCTGTTGCATCCTGCATCCTTCTGTCACTCACTATGGACCATCCAAGTTATTTAAATCCTTTACATTGTTTACAGAAATGTTATTACTCTAATTGCCTACATATAA